GCTTTTCGTGTCCTGCAATTGGCGTTGAGCTTATGGTTGGTTCGCTTGCCGTGGTAGAAACCGCTTGCGTCTGTAGGCAGGAGTGTAGGTAATATGTGGCTTGGAGGCAAGGGACGTGCATGCGTGGAAATCGCGGCGTCATGCAGTGCTTGCGCGTGTACATCTGCGGTGTAGCGAAGGCTTCTCTGGCGTTTCGACTAAACGCTGCTTTGCCCAGCATTTAGGCTTTTATGAGCAGTCGTCTGTTCTTAGCGCGGCTGCATGTATTGTTGGCCTTCCGGCCTTTTGATGGAAGGCATGGATGTTCATGTGAATGCGTGCAGAATTGATGGTGCAATATGAGAAGTGGGAGGCTGGGTGTCTTTAGTTGTGCTTTTCGTCGGCATCGACTGGATGGAGGTGCTTCGGTTGTGTGATATGCGTGAGTCAGAAGGACTGCGACATCACGCAGGATTTCAGTGAATTGGCAAGGCTGATCATCGGCAAGGGGAGAGGTGGGATGAGGGACCGTCGATTAGGCGCTGATTTGTGTAAACCAAACCAGCGGTGTGCATCTTGGGGAGTACAGGAATAGCGAGGAGAGAGCGGCACTTGCGTGCCGCTCTCTCCGCAAGTGCGCGGCGAACGCATGTCGTGCAAGTGGGCTTATGCGTGGGTCGCTTGCCGTAGTTGAAATTATTCCAGTCTGTAGACAGGAGTGTACGCGCTATTGGGCTTAGAGCTAGGGGACGTGGATATTTAAGGATGTTGAAGCGCATTGCAAGAGGTCTTGCACAAGCATGTACTGCGGGGTTATGCATTTTGTGCGTGCGCATGTATGGCCGTGGTGTAGCAGATTGTTTTGTGACGTGCCTCTTGCGCACTGTTCGACGAAAGCCGAATACATCGAGACGGTTAGGGACGTTTCCGCTCACCCTGGTCTTCCAACAGCAAGCGAATCAAAAGGGGCTGCACATGCACTCAGCTGCAACAGTTTACAATTGGTTTTAAGTTTGTGATTGCTTTGTTTGCCTTGGCTGAAGTACGCTCCGTTTGCCCGGAGAAAAAGGCCATATCGGGTAGTGAGTTAGGGGATCTGCGAATGTGAGCACCGTGGGATTATGCAGTTTGTGTGCACGCATCTATGACCTCAGCATGGCGAAGCCTTCGCTGCCATTACGATGGCGCGATATGTTGCTCAGCATGTACGCGATTAGAAACAAGCTCACTAGGTCTGCGCGATTATTTCAGTTGTCCGTTTTCAGGCTTTCAGATTGCAAGCATGAGTGTATATGTCCATGAATTCATACTTATCTAGTCGAGCTGTTATGCGTAGTGAGATCGCGTCTTTATTCTTGTGGTGTCGTTCTCCTTTGGGTACCCACAGGGCTGCGGGTTTTCGGCGATGAGGTCTGCTTTTACGAGAGAGACTCTGGCATTACTGGCGAGAACAATGAATACGCGAGGAGGTATTTGCGGGGCGTAATACTGGATAGGTGGCAGCAGTGTCTACGCAGTTCTTTTTGTCAGGCAAAGGAGTGGTAGCTGTTCTGCGGACATCGAGATAGCGAAGGGCGTTCCGTGGTCTAAGGGGCCACCAACACGGGCTGGGAAAATACGATTGTTTTCTGCTTGAAACCCGTGTCTCACTCTGGAGCGTCTGGGGAACGCAAGATAGGGCGGAACCTCTAGTACTTGCTGATGTTTCTGGTGTGGTCAGATTAACTACGCTGGTATAGGTTCCGGGTGCGTGCAATATTGCGAATGTGTCTCTGGTTTTCGTTCCAGCTCAGCACATCACGACGATCGTTCACAACACTGCAGCATAGAAAGCAGCGGCAAATGAGAAGCAGGCTCAAGGCCTGCACGTACGGCCCGTTCCCCGTGCTGATAGAAAAAGTTTTGGATTCTCTTTTGTTTTCCAACAGGTAGCATTTCGACAAGGTGGAAAGCTCATGCAGCCTGATGCAACAGAATACAGTTGGTATTAAGCTGCCGTGCTAGGTTGGTTTGTTTTGGTTGAAGTTAGTTCCGTTGGCCGTGGGAGTACTGGCAGTTTTTGGCATGGAACTAGAAGACCTGTATGTGTGAGCATCGTGGGCTTAGCAGTTTGTGTGCGCGTGCCTACAGCCTCAGTACGGCGAAGCCTTGTCTGGCATTATGATGGCGCGATGCGTTGCTCAGTACGTATGCTGTTAGACGCAAACACACCGGCTCTGTGCAATTGTGGGCTATGGGCTGTTTTACAGGGTTGCTGAAGGTATGCGTGAGTACATGCATATTTGTGGAGTTGCAATGCAGTAAGTACTGGAAGCTCATTTTGCTGTGATATCGCCCTCATATGCCGTCCACAAGGCTAGGGTTTTCCTCGGCGCGATATGCTTTTACGAGCGAGTCTCTGACATTACAAGCGATGGCAATCAATCCGCGAGGGAGTAGATGTGTAATTCCATACTTGGTAGGCGGCAACAGCAACTACGTAGTGGTTTTTGTCAGGCATAGTGGTGGTAGCTGTTCTGCGGACAACGCGGCTAGCAAAGGGAGTGCCGTGGTCAAATTGGCCAATACGGATTGTGCAAATGCGCTTGGTTTCTGCATGAAATAAGGCCGAACCCTTGTCTCGCTCTCCAGCAGTTGTGGAACACGGCGGCACCCGTAGTACAGATTGGTTGTTCTGGTATGACAAGATTATCTATGCTGTTTTGTATTCCGTGTGGGCGCAATTTACCAATGTATCACTTTCCTTCAATCTCAGCACCTCACGGCAAAGTGTTCAGAGCACTGCAGCATAGTACGCAGGGGCATGCAGGAACCACGCCACCGGTTTGCACGTACGGGATGTTTCCCGTGAGCCTAGAAAAGTTTCGACTCTCGTTAGGTTTCCAACAGGAAGCGATTCCGCTGAATTGCTGTTGCAGCCGCATCAGTTGCAGATGGTATAAAGGTTGCGCTTGGTTGGTGCCACCTGGCTTAAATAAGCTCCCTTAGCCCGAAGAAGTATATGCAGCATTAAGCAGAGAGTTAGGGGACCTGCAAGTATGATTACCGTGGGAATAGGCCGCTTGTCTGAGCGCCCTTGCGGCCTCAGTATGGCGAAGCCTTCTCTTGCGTTACGTTTGCGCGAAATGCTGCTTAGTTAGCATGTACTTAGGCTCAAGCAAACATGCTCTCCGCGATTAGGGGCACTGGCAAGGTTTCGGGATTCCGAGGGCAGGCATGCAAGCATATATATATATATATATATATATATATATGTATATATATATATATATATATGCTTGTGTGTGTGTGCATCCGTATGGGGTTGCAATGTGATGAGTACTGGAAGATCGCTTTCATATGAGAAGGCTCTCCTGTGGTGTTGGAAGACGGGGGCGAGTGTGGTGGTTGGGGGTGCTGTGGCTGGGTTTCTCATGCGGTATGCTTCTGCGAGCTAGTTCCCGAGAATGCAGATGATATGTATGCAGCGTAACACCTAGTAGGAGGCAGCACTGGCTTGTTTCAAAACTTTATTAGCTGTCCTGCGGAGAATGGGAAGTGCGGGCTGCGCTCGAGGGGGCGTCCAACACCGATTGCCCAGATTACACCGGTTCGTCTACGAAAAAGCACTGGAGCGGTAGCTCATTGTATACCTGTTGGTTAACACAGAGGAAATCGGGACGCGGAGGACAGGCTGGCGTGTCGGCTTAGGCAAGACTCTTTTAGCTACTGTGTGCTTGGAATAAGTGCTGCGTATGCATGTCCCCTTAACTCTCGTTCGAGCTCGGCACCTCACGGCAAAGTGTTCACTGCACTCCAACATTGAAGGTGGAGGCAAGCCGGGAGAAGGCCCTCGTTCTACACGCACGTGACGTTTAGCCTTCGTCTTGAACATTCTTGAGACTCAGCGCCCAGGATACCTGCACAAGGGCGGATTGCCCTCATGTTGGGCAGCATGCGTTTGGTACGGCGTTGCATGTTTTGTCGAGTTCTACTGGACTTTGCGGTGTGTGGATAGCTGCACGAGGCGATTTATCGAGTTCGTCTGGACTTTGAGGTGTGTGGATAGCTGCGAGGCGAGTCGTTGATGCATGTGTTGGGCAACATGCGTTTGGTACGGCGTTGCATGTTTTGTCGAGTTCTACTGGACTTTGAGGTGTGTGGATAGCTGCACGAGGCGAGTCGTTGATGCGTGTAAGCACGATTGCGTCCGCGCCACGGTGGATGTATGGAGGAGGATGCTGCATTACGAATTTAATAGACTGTGGCAGTCGCTGCGCAGCAAGCAACATTTCGGTGTACGGACAAGAGGATGCAATAATGATGGTAGCCAGGGGGGTAGGTGGAAGGGGCTATCTCGGCGGAGCTCGCTCATTCATTCGCACGAGGGGTTTGCTTTCCTCTCGCAGGCGCAGGAGGCTTGCTGGAAGCGTAGCACTCAATCAAATGATGTTGGCAACAGTGAAGAACTGCCTTTCCTTTGTTTCGGGTGTGTGCACGGATGTGGTTCTAGGGCGTTTGTTGGATGGCGTCGAGTATGTTGTGGGTATCGTTTACCGTTCGCAGGGTGCCT